TGGGCCGTAAGGGCCACAAGGGTACAGCTCACGGGGACCCTGTGGGTGTCTAGGCCCTCTCGGAACTGGGCCATCTCCTCCTGGAAAGCCTGGGGTGGGGAAGAGATTGAGGCCTGAGCCCAGGCCTTGGCCTCCCCAGTGCCTGGTGGTCCTCCAGGGAGGCTTGTCCAGGCCCTGGCCACCCTCCTTCCCACCTCCTGCCAGCTTCAGGCCCACAGAGGAAGTCCTTTTTCTAACCCCCCCCCCACCGCAAAGCTGGCATGGCCTAACTGGAGGTGACGTGTGGTCCAGCCTCTTGCAGCTGGGCCTTTGGCCAGGGCAGGGAAAACGCTCTGAAAAGTGAAGAGGCGTGAGGGGAGGGCAATGAGCTGACACGTGTCTGGGAAGGGAGCTGAGACCCTCCCAGGAAAAGCTGGAGGGTCCAGCTGGGGCCTGGAGCAGAGGAGTGGAGAAACAGCGGGGAGGAGGCTGCAGGAGCCCGGGAGGTGAGCTCCGCATGCATGCAGCAGAAAGGACAGAAGCCAGATGGGGTGAGAAGCCCTGGAGAGTCACTCGGGTCCTGGGTGGGTGGGGGGGGGTTGGCCTTCCCTCAGAGCACCACCAGAGCTCTGGCCTTCACCTCACCTGGGCCGTAGGGTCTGTCCTTAGGGTGGTCTTGAAGCTCAGGGCCTGGCACAGGCCCCCCAGCACCTTCACATCGTGCTGGGCCCCAGGCCGGCCTTCGATCACAGATAAGAGGAGAGCGGCTCTGGTCCCGGACAGGTCATACGGAGCGCTGGGGCTGGGTTCCAGCTACAGACAAGTTAAGGAGCATTCAGAGTGGCCTGAGAACCTCCCAGCTCCTCACGTTCCCCCATCTCAGGTCTCCCTGAGCCTCTGCCCCCTCTCAACTGCTGTCACCCCACCCCGTTCCCCTCACCTGGTGCTCCCAGGGTTCCACATCCCCCAGGCACAGCGTGCCCCTCAAGGAGCTCCGGAGGACTGGGCAGCAGGTGGCCTCTGACTCTTTGGCTGTCCTGTAGAAGACCTGGGGGGGGAGTGGAACCAGAGAACCCCTAGGGGGCTGCTCCATAGGGGCGCAGTTTGGGGAGGGAACGGGACACTGGCTTCAGGGAACAGCCTGGCTAGCTCATGGCTACTGCAGTCTCTTTGGGGTCCCTTGCCAGAATGGAGGAAGCAGAAGACAGACAAAAGAAGGGGAGGGCACGAAGGAGGTGTCCTAGTTCAGGTTCAATGTCATGGGCTTCCCTGGACATGGATGTCCTTAAGTGGATAGTGGCCATGCCATTAACCACACCACTCCCCACCCAGGGATCCCTGTGTGCAGAGCTGGGGCGCCCCCTAGAGCAGGTTGGGGACTGTCTGGGAAGGTTCACAGGGTAGGTACCACCTGCAGAGGGCACCAGGCTGGGGAAAGCTGTGGAGTGGAGCAGGGGCCCACCCTTCACCTCCAGGTCACCACTGGCCACCCAACTGCCCAGTGAGACCTTTGGGCCTCGAGCCCAGACCAGAATTGGACGGTTCGTCACTCTGGCTTCCAGGGACCTGCAGTCTGACGGGACAGTCACCGTCTGTGTGAGTGTGAACGGGGCTGGGCAGAAGTATAGGTGCTGACTCGGGGAGCTCAAGGAAGAGCATCTCTGACAACCTGGAAGGGAATGTGTGAGGCTGGCTGGGACAACAGGAGGGCAAGCCAGAGGGAGTGGCGTGGGCAAAGGCATGGAGCTGAGAAGCAGTTGGGAGTGTCTGGGGGATCTTGAGCGGGTTGTGAGGAGGGGCACGGGTGGCGTGGGAGGCAGGAGTTCGAGGCTGATACCTCACGCACAGACAATAAAGAGTCATCTGTACAATGAATGGGGCGGCGTGTGAGTGACTCGGATTATCAAGCAGGTTCAGGAGAGCGCAGCAGAGCCAGGGGAAGTGAGTGGCACAGCCCCCCTCCCAGGGACCCCCCCCATCTGGAGCCCCCACCTCCGTCAGCAGCTGCAGCAGAGACCAGTGAGGATATCAGCCACAGAGCTGGCTCGGGCCAGTGAGGAAGGCTCCGGGCTCAGGGGCAGCTAGGTGGAGAAACCGCACGTTGGCCTGGAGGGGAGGTCTTGGCCCTCCTGCCCGCCCCCACCCCAGCTCTGCGACGTCCCACAACCGGTGTCCCTGCCCAGCCCACTCACCCAGCACTGAGAGCAGCAGGAAAACTTTGGGGCAGCCCCACAGGGCCCTACAGCGGCTCAGCTCCCGGACCAGCTGCTGGGGCTGCCTCAGCTGCCCACTGGGGGCCACCAAGGCCACTAGGGCACAGCCCACAGGGCCCCCAAGGGCATCCAGCTGCTCCTGCAACCCAGCCAGCTCCCCAAGGAAGCCCTAGGACAAGAGCAAAAGCCGGGCCTGAGTCCAGGGAGGCCCCAGGGTGGGGCTAGGGGTGGGTGCTGGGATGAGGGCGGAGGTGGGAGGCAGGTGAGGACTCACCTGGACAGAGGCCTCCCTCCTCTGGCAGCTCTCAAAGCCCAGGGTCCGGAACACGCCCTCTAGGACAGTGACTGTAGAGGCTGACACCTCAGGGCTCCTGAGTGTCAGGGCCACCCTTGGACCCTGCAAGCCATACTTCCCCTGGGGAGGCAAGGCCAGTCAGGCTGGGGTGGGGCTCAGCTGAGAGCCAGGAATGGGCGGGGCCAGGCAGCGCCTCCCCCTACCTTTCTTTCCAGATTCTGTAGAGCATCTGCCATCTGCAAGGCCACCTGCATGGTCCCAGCCACCAGGAAGGCTATGGGGGCCAGGTGGGGTCTTCTTCCTCTGAGCACCGAGCTTACCCCGGCCCCGATGCCGATGCCCCAGGTCCCAATACTTGCCCTTTCCCTGAGCCCTGTCCTATCAGCTCTGTTTATGAGCTGAGCTGGACTCTGCTCCTTCCCTGGAACCCTGGGTCTTGGGCCCCCACTGCTTCAGTCCCTGTCCTGTTCTCGGGCTCCAGCGGCTACTTCCTGGCTGGCATTGGCACGCCCCCACCTGAGCCAGAAGCCTATGCCCAATCCTATTCTTAGCTCTTGGCCCACCTCCTCTCTGATCTCATTACACAGGAGTGTCTCCCTTCTGAGCCAGCCACCAGCACCAAAAAAACCCATGCAGGGCTCTCACCAGCCCCTACTCACTCCTGCACAGCACCCATAGCACCCACATGTGCACACTGCAGCCTTGAACACAAGGGTACGAGGAGTGGTGACAGGTGCTGTCTCACAGATAGAAACCCCCAACTGGAGTCATCTGTCCACAATGGGGCCCCAGTTGCTTCATCCAGGAAATGGGGTCCATCATAGTGAGCTCAGGATGAAGCAAGTGTTAAATGGAGGGCTGGCTGAGGAAGGGCTCTGGGGCCAGAGAGACCGGCACACAGACTAAGGGACAGAAGGTTCTGTCACCACCTGCCCCCACCACCCTTTAGGTGGCCCACTGAGGCTACTACCAGGCAAACTGGGAAGGGCTCCGTGGGGCTGTAAGGACCTCTGACCGTGCACCCACCAGCTCTGTGCAGGCTCCAGGCGGGGGCCTTGGCGGGGGGGGGGTGAGATGTCAAGGGCTGGGTGGGGAATGGGGCAGGGCCCATTCTGACCCAGGAGTCCTCTCCCGCGAAGGGATCTGAGCACAGGGACCAGCGTGGAGCTCTGGATCTCCGTGAGCAGCAAGAGCACACCGTGCCCCCCACCAGTCACCCCACACCCATGCCTGTTTCTTCAGGTCGCCATTGAGGAGAAAAGGAGTAGCCTGGCAATGACCTGCTCAGCTCCTGCGCTGTCCTGCCGGGGTGGCAAGGGGTGCCTGTAGCTGTCCCATCCTGAGCTGCCCCTGGTCCACGGCTCACACTGGCTGACACAGGCCGATGAGAGTCCTGAGACTCACAGCTGTTCTTTTCGGCCCAGCCAACCTGGAAGCCAAGAATGTGGCTCCACCTGGTGACCACCCAGCACCAGTGCCCCGGGCAGGACCAAACCAGGAGGCAGAGAGGCATGAATTCCAGTACCCCCACCCAGCAACCACATAAAGAACAGAACAGCCTAGAGGAAGTTTCCGTTATTTATTCAACATCCTCTGCTGCCCTTTTGAGACCAGCAGAGCCGAGCTCCTTTGGAGAGCCTGTGGTCTGTCCCTGCGAATGCCCATCTGCAGACAATGCGGACGGCACCATGGAATGCAGTGCTTAGGGAGTCAGCGACAAAGCGCTAACAGAGTGCTAGTGTTAAGTATCACAAACCCCACACCTCTGGAGAAGGGAGCAGCGGGGAGCAGCCAGCCTCCAACAGCCCTGTCCTTGGTCTTCAGTGTGGGCCTCCTGTTCCTGGAGCCACCACCACCCACACCAGATTGGCAGGGGTGGCTCTCAGGGACTCGCTTGGGGGCAAGTCAGCTTCGAGCAGAGGCAGGCAGTTTCCATGTCTCCAGGCGGGGCAAAGTGGTCACAGCCTGGAAATGGGGAGAGATGGGGCTGGAAAGCCAGTGGCCACACCCAGGACCCAGATCCTCCCAGGGATGGGCTGTCCTCCCAGAACCCAGGAGCATCCTGCAGGTCAAGGCCTGTCCTCCACACCCACCAGAAGGCACAGCTTGGCAGGGCAGAGGGTCCGGCCCACGGACTCAGCTGACGTGGCCGGGAACAAAGAGCCATGAGGCAAGCAAGGCCGGTGGGGGGCGGGGGACCCCTTCCTCAGCCACTTCCCTGACGCCCAGGCCTTTCTCCCACGCTGAGGCCACAGGCCACGAATGTGCTGGGGCACCAGGATGCCAAAGGACAAGAGAAAGCCAGGAAGCAAGAAGGGGAATGGCCGCGAGGTGGTGGGGGCTTTCCATTCCCTGGGAGTGTAAGCTAGGCCTGGGGGCGAGGCGGGGCAGGCAGCCGGGATGGAGGCCGCAGACGAGGGGAGAGAACACCAGGGGCCGGTGGCTGCTTCGCCCTGGGGACACCGTCCCCTCCAGCCCCCACTCCGGGTCGGCCGCAGGGCCCCCGCCAGCCCTCAGCCCACAGGCTGGGCCATCTTGGCGTGCAGGCTCTGGTGGGCGATGAGGTGGGCGCGCTGCTTGAAGCTCTTGTCGCACTCGCCGCAGCCGAAGGGCCGCTCGCCCGTGTGCACGCGCCGGTGGTCCAGCAGGTAGGAGCGCAGCGAGAAGCTCTTGCCGCACTCGCTGCAGCCGAAGGGCTTCTCGCCCGTGTGGATGCGCTGATGGTCGGCCAGGTAGGCGCTGCGGCTGAAGCTCTTGCCGCACTGGGAGCAGGAGAAGGGCTTCTGGCCCGTGTGCACGCCCTGGTGGCGCAGCAGGTCCGACGAGCTGCGGAAGCTCTTCTCGCACGCCTGGCACTTGTGCGGCTTCTCGCCCGTGTGCGTGCGCTGGTGGCGCGCCAGGTCCGAGCCCCAGCGGAAGCGCTTGCCGCACTGGCCGCAGCTGTGCGGCTTCTCCGCCGCCAGGTCCCGCAGCGGCCGCCGGCGCGCTGGCGGCCGCCCCCTCCGCGCCCCCACCGCGCGGCCCACGGGCGCCCCCGGCCGGGCCTCGCCGTCCCAGGCCTCGGGCTCCTCAGGGCTCCAGGACACAGTCACGTCGCCGCGCCCGCCGCCACCGCCGGCCTGGCCCGGCAGCGCCGTCACCGCCTCCTCCAGCCCGGATCGCTGGCTTTGGCTCTGAAGCCCCGCACCTGCAAGCCGAGAGGGGGCGGCCTCTTCAGTTCCACTGGGTTCTGGGACCAGAGCTGGGGCAAGGCAGAAACAGGACTCAGGTCCAGAAAGCCCAGGGCAGCACAGGACCCCAGCCTCAGTTTCCTTGCCCATAAAATAGGGACATGATAAAGTGCTCGCGGAGAAACACTTCAGAGGTAGAGGCATGGGGTCCAGCTGGGCTGACCCGCGCAGCATAGACGCTTACTAATTATACACCCAACACTTCCACCCTGGGGTCCACACTGGCATCCCATGTCCCACCCTCTGAATCTTGGCTATTCAAACTCCAAAACTGAATAAATTCAGGTAGTTTGTAAGTTATCCAAATCCTCAGTATTTCTTACCAGAAACTGAGAACCTACATGGGTTCAGCCAATGTGGCTGCTCTTATTCCACAAGCTTTTGTCCCTTAAACTCAACAACAGATTTGGACAGGGAATGATCCTAGCCTGCCCACTGTGTCACGTGGATTAAACGAGATGATCCCCAGACAGTGCTCAGAAAGGCTGTAGCGCAGAAAGGAGCTCCAGGTGGGTGGCCTCCGAAGAGCAGAGCCCAGGCCTTGGCACACGGACAACGGGTGTTCTGTCAACCCCTCTCCGTGGGGCTAAGGGGGCCTCACAACTACCGTACAGAGTCCCAGCTCAGCCCCTTCAGTGTCCGTTGGCCTCTCTGAGACTCAGATCCCTCGTGTGTGCACCGGGACTACACCTCTATGCGGCAGGTTTTGAGAATCACAAGAAAATGCCCATATGAGAGCTCAGCACAGTGCTGACACGTTGCAAGCACCCATGTTATGGTAACACACACTCAAAGGCAAAGAAAAATGAACACTGACACAAAGGGAAAATCACCCAGGGCTCTTGAAAAGACCCCGCAAAAGCCCTTTCCAGCCAGCTAAGGAGGGGATGGAAAGACTGAGGATTCCAGCAGGGACATATGGGGGTGTACGGCCAGCTTGTGCCCACCCTCTGTCACCGGGACCCCCAAGAAGGCTGCTGCTTCCAGTTCAGAGGAGCCAAGGACCGCAAGGGCACCCACTGCTTACCCAGGGCAACATTCCGGGAGTTCTCTCGCTTTATGTCCCAAAAGAGTTCCCTCTGAGCAGGGTCCAGAGACCCCCATTCTTCCCGGGAGAAATAGAAGGGAATGTCTCCAAATGTCAAAGGTCCCTAGAATGAGGTTTAAAAAAAAAAAAAAAAAAAAAAACCACAACCTGGCTCAGGGCTGCCACTCTGGGCTCCCCCTTGGGATGGGGAACAGGATAGGTCCAAGCAGGACCAGGATGGATGGAAGAGGCCTCGATGAAAAGACAAGGCCCATTTTAGGGACTCAACAGCAGCGAGGGCCTCAGAGGGGACAAACGGACTGGTAACTCACATGGACCTCAGAGGCAAAGCAGGTACCGGTTGTCTCTCTGGTACTCCCTTCTTTAAGAGCAGGAAGCTGGGCTGAAGGAAAAGAACAGAGGTTCACAGAGACCAGCCCAGGCCAGGAGTAAGCTCTCACACATGTACATGCACACACATTCCTAGGCTTCCTAGAACAGAAATACCCTTCCCGGGGCGCCTGGGGGGCTCAGTCGCTAAGCGTCTGCCTTCAGCTCAGGTCATGATCCCGGGGTCCTGGGATCGAGCCCTGCATCGGGCTCCTTGCTCGGCGGGAAGCCTGCTTCTCCCTCTCCCACTCCCCCTGCTTGTACTCCCTCTCTCGTTGTGTCTCTCTCTGTCAAATAAATAAATAAAATCTTAAAAAAAAAAAAGAAATACTCTTCCTGCTACCCTGAGGGCAACGCCCTGGAAGGACCCAAGCCCCTGCCCAGCGATCTGTGCCTACAGGCTTACTCACCACCATGGCTGTGCTGCTCCCAAGGTACAGGTGGCCAGCTTCGTGCCCCCACCTTCATGGGAAGCCCCTTGGCCTGGGGTCCCTGGACTGTAGCTTCAGGTTCCACGTCCTCTGAGGGCACTTCCTGTGCAGGAACCACAACATGCTCATCAGCACCGAGACCAGATGGGGGAGACAGAGCTTAATCCCTGGGAAGGAGACATAGGACATGTCCCTCAGGATGCAGGGGGGTGGGGAAGGAGATCCACATGGGGTCCCAGAAATATCCAGAGGAGAAGGTGACACCAGGCAGTGCTGTGTGCCCAAGGACACTCCCTGATCAAGCATGAGGCAAGAACAGCTCCCAAAGGCCAAATCACAGAGCCACTTAGTAAGGGGGTGTGGGGGCAGACCTCCATGCCAAGGGCGGAACTCCACACCCCAGCCACTCATTAGCACCTTCCCCAGGATCAAGAATCCAACACCCCCAAGAGAGCAGGGTTCACATGGACAGCTACCTTCTCATACCTAGTCTGCTGCTCTCATTACACATGACTGTATCCCCAGGGCCTGGCCTACAGAACATAAAAAAACATTTGCACAACCAGTGTGGAGCTAAAACTGCCTTCCTGGAACATGCCCACTTTGGTCCTGCTGCTGCCCTCCAAAGCCACCAAAAAGAAACCAGATTCATTTGGACAGTGTCTTTCAGAAAGGCAACACCTGTTATGATGCGCTCCTGCTGATGCTCCCTCTGGCTCTGCATCCCCACCACCCCTGGAGCACTTGTTTCTATGGAGATGGCCACCTCTCTTCAGCCAGGTGCCAGCCAGGTGCCTCTGGGTGTGGGAGGGGACCCTCACCTGTGGCCATGCTGTCACTGGCTGTTTCTGCAGGACCTCCACCAAGGCAACGGCCTCCTCGCCACTCCCTGGACACCGCTCTCGAACCCAGTCCTGGACGCCTCCGGGCAGCACACTCAGGAACTGCTCCAGCACCAGCAGCTCCAGGATCTGCTCCTTGGTGTGCAGCTCCGGCCGAAGCCAGCGGCAGCAGAGCTCCCAGAGCTGACTGAAGGCCTCATGGGGCCCGCCCACATCCCTATAGCAAAAATGTCGAAAGCGCTGGCGACAGACCTCAGAATCCCTGTTGTCTTCTTGCTGGGCAGAGTCCTGCTCCCAGGAGGAATCTTCCACCTTCACAATCAGCAGCCCTTCTCCCTCCCCAGGGGCCTCATCCTGAGGCTCCAGGGGTGCTGCCATTCCCCTGGCCTAAAGCTCAGGACTGGTTGGCCTCAACCTTGGCCTGGGAGCCCGCCCTTCAGTCTCCCAGAGGGATCCCCTGTGGCAGCCGGGTGGACATCTGGACACGTATTCCTGGGGAAAGAGCAAAAAGCAGGAGGGGGGCAGTAAATGAGCAAACACCGCCAGCCTGCTCCTGTCCTTTCCTGGCCCTGAAGTGTTTTTTAGGCTCTCCCATAATGCCTTGCTCATGTGACTACCAATACAGGTCTACAGCCCCTTATCCTCAGCTTTAAAATCCAAAACTGCCAGGTTTTTACTACCTGGCCTACTGATGTGAGCATATTCATAGTCTCCACTTATCTCACTTAACATAAATGTTCATATGTTTTACAGCAAAAATATTTATGTATTTCTTCAGCTTGTAAATATTCACCAAGCTGTACTTACCATGTGTATTTCTGTATGCGTATTACACTTCAGTAAAAGAAAACGTAATTAATACATTTGATTATTGAGTATTGCTGCAGATTCTGCTGGTAGAGTTACTTGATATACCATGTGTACCATATTACCTTCGTCAAATCTAAAACTTCCGAATTCCAAAACACATTTTGGCCCTGGGGTGTCAACAAAGAGCTCACAGACACCAGGCTAAGCCATTTATCCACAGGTACATACGAATGAGTGACACATATTTGTACCTTACATTGCTACTCCTTACAATAGTCCTGAAAAGTATATATTTTGAAATTTTCTTTAATTTCTCTTTTGTTTCAACAAAAAAAGTGACACAGACCGTTATAATAAAAAAAAGGCAGGGGGACTTAATACAGAAACACATAAAATAGAAACTTCCTTCCAAATGCAGTTGCACCCCCCCATAAACGGTATGACATGTGACCTCCTGGACTTTTCCCTATCCATTCACTGAAAATGTATCCATAGAAACGGGAAAAACAAGTGTTTTTGTGTGTTTTACATAAATGAGGTCTTACTGCACATACTATTTTGTATCTTGCTTTTCCACCTAACAATGCTTCATTAGCCACTCTGGGAGATTCCACGGTGTGGATGCGCTCCGGTTTCTTAACAGGTACCCGAGTGAGGCATTCAGCTTGTTTCCAGTCCTTCTCTACTACACACTAAGCACTTTATTTTTCCACGCCTCACAACACCCCTGAAAGGTACGCGCTCCATTCTCATCCTCCAGTGACCGAGGAGAAGGCTCCGCTCGGAGAGGACCAGGGACTCACCAGGGTCGCTCGGCAGGACGCGGCGAGCGGGAACGCGGACCGACCCCAGCAGCCTCGCCTGCGCGCAGCTGAGAAGCGCCGGGCGGGCAAGGCGGGAGCAGGGGACCCCACCCCCAGCACTTCCCAGCAGCGTGCGCCTCTGTCTCGGGGTGCTGGCCCTGCCGCCCTCAGCCCAGCGCTCGATCTCGGAGCTCCGCGTCGCCGGTCCCGCCCCCGGGATACACACCGCCCACAACCGCCCAGGCGTTCCTAGTTCCGCCGCCCGCTCCCCGCGCCGGAAGTTCGCGCGCGGCTCGCCGGGAAACAACACAGCGCATGCGCCGCAGCAAGCACTCGAACTACACGCCCCAGAAAACCCTTCGCCCATTGAGTCCGCCTTCTCCCTGACGGATAGCCAATGAACGGGGAGAATTCCCAGAGTTGGCCAATCAGGAGGCAGCGGCGCCTACCTATGCCCCCGAGCTGAGGTTCGCTTCTAAACTCGTTCTTTCAGATTTCTCTGCCCTGCTGGTCCGTGAAGGACGAAAAGGGAAAGCCAAGGCTGGTCTGCTGGGCCGAGACGGCGTCTGGCCCAGCCACGAGTAGAGGTCCCCATACGCCGGAAGGGATCCGCTGAGAACGGACTCTTCCTTCCGCCCCCGGTTCTTTCCTCGAGTAGGTGGAGGGCGGAGGGCTGAAGGCCAGCGCGCTGCTCGGCCCCGGGATACTCATTTCCAGCTTCTCGGCCCCGCCCCCGCCAAAGTCTTTAGCCGCTCCTAGCGGGGCGTGGAGCTTCCTGGGAAATGCAGTCCAGTGAGGGACGCGGAGACTCCTGCGGCGATTCTTCGCACCTCGGCCGAGGTCGTGCGGCAGGACGCGGCCCACGGGGACGCTGACCCTGGGGAGCCCCCCGCTCTCCCACCGGCAGCTTACTCTGCGGGGCGGCGGGCTCCCTACCGGGGAGCTCTGGATTCTCCTTTCCATGCATTTGTACCTGCTCCCACACTCTACTTCTCTACCTGCAGATCTGTGGCTCCAGATCTTTTCCTGAAATATGAAGAGATCTCTTTTTGTTTTGATTATGCAAGTATTGCATGCCTAGTGTAGAAAAAATTAAGAAAGTATGGAAAATTATAAAGCTATCTATATCCACAAAGCTAGCACCCTCGATCTGCTCAAATGTCGCTCCCTCCAATTGGCTTTTCCTAACTCACAGCGCCCACCCCCCCCCGCCATACTTCTGCCCTACCTTATTTTTCTTCCTTTTATCACTACCTGATACACCTATGTAATATTTGTTCCTTAATACTGTACTGTAAGCTCCGTGAGGTCAGCGTTTTCACTGCCCCACTCCTAGCATCTGGATTTGTGCCTGGCACAATAATTGTTGACTAAATGAAGGCAAAAATAACTGGAGGTAAAAAAATATATTCCTAATAAGGCCATTCCAAAGTGAGTAATGTAGGAAAGATGTTAGGGTTTGAAGCCCACGGCCAAGAAAGAACTCTTGAGAGTCTTTGGTGCAAAAAGGTGATTTTATTAAAGCACAGACAGGACCCATGGGCAGAAAGAGCTGCACCGGGGTCATGAGGAGTGGCCCATTACATACTTATATACTTTCAAGTTGGGAGGTGGTTAGGGATAGCGTAAGTCTCTAAGGAATTTTGGAAGCAAGGTTTCCAGGAACTTGAGAGGGCTAGCTATTGTTGGGAAAAGGTCATTTATTACCATCTAATAAAACCTTGGTCATGAGACCCTTCAGATGTATATCGGAGGGCCATATGCTTGGGGGATGATTGCCAACATGTACCTTGGGGGGTTTAGAGATAAAGGAAGTTCCCAAAGAATTTTTATATGTTAAGGTAGACTTACAGGATCCTGGGCGGCGGGAGGGGGGATCAGGCTAGGATTGCCTTTTGCCTTTAGCAAAGTCTTAACATTGAGGTAGTTGAGACCCTAGAGGAACATCACTCTCCCTGTTTTTTTTTTTTTAAGATTTTATTTATTTATTTGACATAAAGAGAGAGAGTGAGCACAAGCAAGGGGAGTGGCAGGCAGAGGCAGAGGGAGAAGCAGGCTCCCCACAGAGAAGGGGGAGCCCGATGTGGGACTCGATCCCAGGACTCCGGGATCATGACCTGAGCCGAAGGCAGTCGCTTAACAAACTGAGCCACCCAGGCGCCCACTCTCCCTGTTTCAAGGACTTGTCAGTGGGCTCTAGAAGCTAAAGTAAATTTAATAATTTTTTCTTCTGCCTTTGTTTCCCACACAGTGAGCATTATTAATATTTTAGTCTGTTTTTACACTTCTACGTCTATGAATATTTCTTATGTAAATTTGGAATAATTCTATGTTAGTAATGTTTTGTTGACTCAAAAGTCTATCAAGGATATCTCTAGGGCGCCTGGGTGGCTCAGTCAGCTAAGCGTCTGCCTGCAGCTCAGGTCATGGCTCCCTGCTTGACAGGGAGCCTGCTTCTCCCTTTCCCTCTGCCTGCCATTCCCCCTGCTTGTGCGCTCTTGCTTACCAGAGCACAAGCAGGAGGAACAGTAGAGGGAGGGGGAGAAGCAGGCTTCCCACCAGCAGGCAGCCGTATGCAGGGCTCGATCCCAGGACCCTGGGATCATGACCTGAGCCAAAGGCAGATGCTCAGCCATCTGAGCCACCCAGGTGCCCCCCAAAATAAAATCTTAAAAAAAAAAAAAAAGGATATCTTTCTATATCACCATGTATAAATAAAATGCATCTGTTTTGCAGGCTGCATAGTATTCCATAGTATGGAAGTTCCATATTTTATTTAAAGTTCCTTACCCTTGGACATTTAGATTGTTTACAGTTTTCTGTATTTGCAAGTCATTTATACAAACACGCAGCTTCCAGCATTTGCTTGAACAATTTGCTGGAGGGCATGAGTCCTCTCTGTGAACACTGCTGAGGTGGATGCTCCTGGGCTCCCTCCCCTCCTTCTACTGGCCCCATGGAGAACTGCACAGGGAAAAAGGAAATTGAAAGTCTATTTTTCTAGGTGTGGACTTACAGTGTTCTTCCATCCCCCCTCTACTGGCAAACACTAACATCAAGTTGGCTACCAAAGGAGAAAGGCTCTAGTACCACAAAACGGGACAAAATGTGTGTATTGTAGGCTGAGAAATAATAAATTAATAAGTGGCACACTTACCATATATTTGATTGGGCAGTGCCAGTAGATGACAAGTTATTTGTATACAATGACATTGAAACTGACCACCAAATAGCACTTCTTTTCTTTTTTTTTTTTTAAGATTTTTATTTATTTGAGAGAGAGAGAGCACATGAGAGGGGGGAGGGTTAGAGGGAGAAGCATTCTTTCTGAAAGTATTTTGGTTTGTTTTTCTAGGAAATCTAGTCTGTAAATAACGAAAGTCAAAATTTTCTTTCCAGAAAATTTATATTCATTTCCAGAATTTATACTCATTATTTCCTTAGTCTCAGTCCAGAACTCTCTAAACAATGTAAAAAATTGAGGACAACAGGTATTATTGTCTTGCTTAATGAAAATACTTTTAATGATTTACAATTATTCATTGTTTGTCCCTGATATATATCCATGATCATATTAAGGAGCATCTATTCTCATTTGCAGCAAAAAGACTACTAGCTGTCCCCAATATCAGTTTTCTTTTTTTTTTTTTTTT